TTTGAAGATTTGTGGAATTGTAGATGCAGGTTGGGTAGTAAGCCAAGGGCTATATAAAACGCCATGTATAAGTATACTACTTTACTTGCAGGGTGGGGGGGCAGTACCCAAGATGTGGGGCTTGTAGGTTCTAGGTTGTGGGCTATGTATTCCGGCTCTGGTCTACTATCGGCTTAGGCTTTAAGGCTATGGGCTACACTGCTACGGGCTGGAGGCTTTGGTCTTGGCGTGTTTAGTTCTTTTTTTGCTCGGCTGACGTCTAGAATTACGACTGGCCATCAAAAATAGGTCGTCGTCGCCGCCGTCTGCTCCTGCTCCCACTCCTGCTGCTGCCTACTCCTACTCCTATTCCTACTCTCCTACTCCTACTCCTACGTCTACTCCTACTCCTGCTGCCACTTTTGCTGCTGCTGCTGATGCTGCTGCATGGCCCCCAGTAGAAACCGTAGAAAGCCGTATAAACCTCTAGCAGACATGTAAAGAAGACCCTGATTAAACAAACGCCAAAAAAGAACAAAACACAATCCGAATCCTAAACCCTAAACCCTAGGCAACAAATCTACACCATTCCACAAAAAGTCTCGAGGCCGTAACCCACAAAGGCTTCCATGTGCGGCGACATTTCCACGATGTGGCCTTGTGTACCGGCGTTTCGGTACACGCACTTCTGGACTTGAGTTCAGGGTTGAGGTTTTATAGAGGTTTAGCGCTTAGAGGGCTTACGTTTGTAGGCTTGTTGGGCTTAAGGGAGCCATTGGGTTAGGGTTCTGATCGGTTGCTGAGGTGGTCGTGAGTGATCTGTGTGCCTAATCAGGGGTTGCTAGCGCATCAATGGATAAGTTCAATTAGCTGGAGAGACAAAGAACACCCTTCAGTTAGAACCCTTGACTCTTGCCGAACTACCAAAAGACCCACCTGAAGGGAGTCATACGAATGAACCCTAATATGGTAAGCACTAAACCTAAACCCTAAACCAGACTAATGAACCCTAGGATGGTATCTGCTTTTAGGGTTGTGATAACCCGAGACAAGCCCTGGCAAACCCGCATGGCAACCCTCCAGACTCCAAACAGCCTATATACAGGAGCCTTCATTATCAGAACTGGGTCCTTAATTAATGGAAACTACAGGTGGGCAGTTTAGGGTATATAGGGCTTCTATAAGGCTTCTATAAGGTATATAGACCTTCTATAAGGCTCCTATAACGGTAACTCCCCACCTGAAAATGTCCTAGACTTAAGCTTCCTCATTGCAATTTTATGTAATACAGTATGCCCAAACCCCTCTTCCAATCATAAAGGCCGTAATACTTACTATACGTAACCCTCATAGAGCCCTTTAAGGGCACGGGCTTGCGGTCTAGAAACCGCTCAAACCATCAGATGTTTCCAAATCAGAGGAGGCACAGGCAAGTTGTGCTATTCAGAGCCGCGACAACGGGTATTCCTGAGCCTCTTTAACCCTTAACCCTAAACCGTCCCTATAGTATCAGGACATGATGTGTATGTCACCCGCTGGGCCGGTGGTAGAAGCAACACCGGCAACAGCACTAACGCCCTGGTCATGGCTGCCACTATCGCTGAAGCCTGTACGAATGCTGTACCATGCCGTAACAATCCCATATAGCTCTTTCTCCTCGCTCGCTCGCTGGCTCGCTCTCTCGCTCTCGCTCTTTCTCTCTCGTTCTCGCTGTCGCTCTCGCTGTCGCTCTCGCTCTCGCGCTCGCTCTCTCTCTCTCTTTCTCTTTTTCTCTCTCTATCTCTCTCTTTTTCTCTTTCTTCTCTTTCTCTCCCCCTCGCTCGCTC